TTTTTTATAAAATAAATATTTATAAATATTTTATTTTAACCATTTATTTAATTAATAAATTTTAAAATTTTTATTTTTCTTTATTTTATTTTTATTAAATTATTTAATTAAATAAAAATATTATCATTTCCTCTTCCCTTTCATTTATCCAAACAAAACTAACATCATCATTTTCCTTCCCTTCACTTCTCCTCCCTTTCCTTCCTCTCCCTTCCCCTTCGTTTCCTTTACTAATTTTTATTCAAACATAGGCTTAGTTTTAACAAAGCAATCTAAAGCATTAATCAATTATTTATGAGGCAAACGGGGAAGAGACATGAACTAAACAGCAAAAACAGAGACATGCCCCTGGACCAGTAAGGATCCATTTGGAGAGATTTCACGGCTGCACCAACATTGACCCTAAACAGAGTGCCTTTACTTCACGGATACTCCTATAAAAATGTGCACACTTTTGCGCCAGGAAACCAGGTTTTTTACTCAATTCAGGCTTTCCCCATGGAAATCTGTAGCAGTTTCCAACCTTTTATGGACGTGAATACGGGGGGAAGCCAAGAATATCAAGGGATGGATGAAGATGATGTTTTCTATGCAGTGATTAGGAGGCAGATTCTGCTTTTGATGGCGGATGATGATGAAGATCGTCCAGAAAGGGCTCACCGGCAAGGCTCAAACAGGATTGTGGGCGGTGTTTCTTCTGGAGTGCAAGCTCCTAGAAGCTATTTCACCTGGGAGAAAACAGAAAAATCTAATTCTGTGCCAACTTGGCTTGTGAATTTGTGGAAAAATGGCAATGGAACAGGAGTTTCCGTCCCTTATATTGCCGAAACAAGAAGAAAGAGACCAGGTTTGTACAAGCACTTCTTCCTCTTAATTGTTTTTATATGGTTTTTGGTGATCTGATCATTTACTTCCCCATTTTGCAGGGAGGATGAATAATGAGAGGCGAAGAATATACAAGCCGGTACACAGCAACCACCCATGAACGATGACTCTGAAATAATCTGAAGGAAAAGAGAAATGTACAGTAACCCTTTTAATAACTAAGTTGGTTTGGCTGCAGTTCTGATTACACCGGATTCTACTGCTGTAATTAAAAACTCAGATATACAAAGCATATTCGATAGTTCACTGAACAATATACCAAATGCAAGTTGTACTCGTAATGGTCTCTTCTTTTTTTTTTTTAACTGCAAGACTCAAGAGACAGTTGGATGAAAAAAGTCAGATATATAACCAGAACAAAGCATCTCAGTGTGATTCCTTAAGGGCTCCACAACTAATTCAACAAGGTTAGTGTTGCATTATAAGGTAAGGAGCACATCCAGTCAATTCCTTAAGGATGCCTGAAAGATAAGCTACTTGGAATAATACATGCTTCGAAGCTACATATACTATACAAGGCTCTTCTGGAGACCTCCATTTCTGTTGACAAAGCTGAAGCAGGGGTTTTCCCACATGATGGAGAAATGATGACAGCACAAAAATGATGGTATCTCAGAAAAGTTAGTTTCTATGCTTTCACCTGCTATGGTCCCAGCATACTATTGGGTTCTTGGAGGTGAAGTAGGCTGAGCTATTCCGTGGAAAGCTTCAACAGAAATCGAATCAAGAGAAGTGTTGTGGAAAATAAGCATATATTAATCTCTAGGGCGTGCTAACCATAGTGAGCTTAGTGCTCGGAGTCTAGAAGTATAATCATTGATGACTAGAAGGGCACGTGCAGCTTGTCTAGTGGTCAGAATTCGATGCATTTGTTGTAGAGTTTGCTGCCTTAAAAGGTCAGCCTGCAAACAGAATAACAACACGCTGTTTCAATGCACCTCTCTATCAAAATTGGTGGCAATTAGCTTATCTTTGCTGGTAAAAGGTGAGTTTTAAGTTATTTACCTGGTGAAGGAAGTTCTCCAGTGTGGCAAGCTTGCTCATTGCAATTGCCATTTGGTTCATGTAGTCAGAAACATTTCCAGTACCAGCTGGACCCAATGATGTAGATGAAAGTATGTCCACAAGAGACTGTTGCAAAGCCTCCATTCCTTGAGTTAATGCATCTTCTGCTTGTTGGGAGGACTGCTGCAGATTACATATGCCCATCAACTGCTGGTCTGTCAAAGGCTCAAGGTAGTTCCCCAGGATCTAAGATTCCAAAAATAAAATAGAATTAGATTAGTGAAATAAAAGCAGTTGTCTCCCAACCAATGCCAAAACCATAAGATGTAGATGGAAGACTAAATATGATGAACAAGTTACCTTGAGAAGTTCAGATGAACGAAATCCACCCAACCACATGAAACATCTCTCTGCAGGTGTTTTCCACATGCCAGAAAGCATGTGAAATACATCAGTCTTTGTACCAATGTTCTTTAGCCTGAATACTTCATCATAATGTGCCATAACACCATCAACAAGAAGCCGCAATTCATTATCTCCCATCTGAGAATTTACTGCTGATCTTAAGTCCATTATCAGTCGTTGATGCTCATCAAGCCAGCGAGCATATTCCATGTCAAAAGCCAAAGCTCCTGGAAGTATATAATCAAGTGCAACAAATCATGAGACTCTGACATTATGTTTCATATGATATATATATATATATATATTCAATTCAAATGAAGCCAGAATTGTACATAAGCAAATACAAGTGCCAACCAAACAAGTTCCTCGGGGTTTTTGTTTCTCCATCCATAGATAACAATCATAGGTTCACAGCAACATATTACTCACTTGACCAAGTAACAAAAATGCCCAGGAACTGCAATATGTTTTATCAGGCATCTTCAAGGTTTACCTCCTCTTTCAACCAATTCAATTGGTTTTTCTGTTTTTCTTTAGTTCTGTCATTTATATACTTTCTTTTAGCAACAAATTGACTTTGTCCTAGCTAACCCCCTGATATCAAAAGTTGTCACCTTCTCCAGTAAAACAGTTTTCTTCAAGTCCTGTAGCGCTCAACAATTCCTCACATATGCAGACACGATTATTTGGATGTAAACAGATAACATGCAGAGAGGCTAGCATGACATTGTTGGTTACCTTCAACAACGTTTTGAAGTAGAGAACAGGATCATGGATAATTTAATAGGGTACCGAACAAACATGGACAAACAAACATAATGGTCTGTGGTCCCCTTAGAGTGGTAATTAACACCTATGCCTCTCAGTCAGTGACATCAATTAACATTCAGGGAATGGTATTCCTCCCTGCAGCACATTTCACAAGAAAAAGATTTTGAACCATAAAATTGTACCATCCCTAAATTCCTTAAGATAGACATAATCTGCATTGAGACAGAATCTTAAATCCCTATAGTAAAGAGGTTGTTGAATGCATTAAAAATGAATCCCCATAAAACCACATCAAGACTAACATCATTAAAAGTTTTTGTGAGCACTGAATTTCCCTGGCTTAATCAATAAATATGATGGCAGGTCTAGACTTCAAGCAAGCTAATAAATGATGAGGCATTAAATGAGTTAGAAAGCAATTTGGCCGCCACTAAAATTAGTATCAAAATTACAGATATTAAAGCCAAATATAACATAAAACAAGTAAACCTCCATGATTTAAGTCTAAAAACTGAAGCTAGACAAGAGGATCCTAGATGCCTCACCATTTCCAGTCACTGGATGGCCATGGTCACCTGAAAAACCACTTGCAATAAACAAACCCTGCATTCAAAATGATAGCAAGAGGAATTGAAAGAAAAAGAGTTACTCTTTGCACATACTTAAAATGGACAGAACTGCCCTTGAATGTGAAACTTGAATCCTAAAATGTTTAGAAAAAACAAAGATGGATGTAAAATAGAGCTTAAAATTCCCTTAAGTCCACTTTTTTATTGGAAAAAAGAAAAGAAAAAAAAATAACATAATGTACCTGTTGCCGTGCTCTTTGTAGCTCTTGCTCTAGTTGTGTTAACTTGAGTCGACTACTCTCAAGCTGCTGGACGTATGCCTATCAAAAATCAAAACCTATAAGTGATATGTTTCATCCGTTGTCTTAAGACAAAAGAATGCAGATGAGAGAACAAAGTCCCATATGTACCAATTAACTAGCAACATATCAACTTTATCCAAATACATGAATTCAACCAATAATGATTAGCAACAAGACGAATGTGGTACGCGAACAACCCCTAGTGTTTTTTATGTTGAAACAGAAAAGAAGAAAGGGACACATCAGAATGTTAACATGAGAAGCAATGGTGTGAAACTTAGAAATATAACACCAGGTCATAACCAAAGAATCCCATTATCATGGACGGAAGAGAATGCAATGAACAGCCAAAAATCAAATTACTTTCTTCCTCATTCTACTCTTCCTTGCTGCTTCTCGATTTTGGGCCAGCCTACGAAGTGTCTGCAAGGGAGTAACACAATGAAAAGATTAGCCTTCACCCATAACCAATTTCACAAACCACAAGAAAGCAGCTGAAGTTAAAACCTTATGATCACTTGCTTTTCGCTTGGACTGATCCATGGATTCCACAGCTGTAACTGATCCACGACGAGCTCCATGAAGCTAAAAGATAATTAAGAACCATCTCATACGTTAATTTCTTCTAAAAAAGACAACTTATAACCATAGTCATAACATAATATCCAAAAAATAATAATAGTAATAATAATTAACCAGCAAACTAATTGGATTACAAAGAACTTTCACCAACACTCCACCTTAATAACAGATAAATTTGCCTAACACAGCTGTTGTAAGCATTAATGTTGATCTAATTTTGGCTCCATAAATAACCCATCAACTAACAAGTATTCATTTTCACACCCACTAAGAAGGAAAAAAAAAAATCTAATCTAGGTATCTTGTCTAGTGATCAATTCTACAATCACAACCACCTAAGGCCAACAAATTTAGTCAAAATTCAAAACAAGACAAGATTCTAATGTAACCCAAATTTCACCATAGACCCACCTTCAACCCCAAAAGATTCCCACCCAAAACAGAGAGCATAAAAAAATATACCCACAGAAGAAACAGGCACCAAACCTGGTTTTTATCATCGGTGTCAACATCTGTGGAAGTGTCAGTCTGTTGGCTGTTGTCTGCGACGCCTGAATCACCCCAGTTCTCAATATGTCCGTTCCCCAACGAGGCCCCAATACTTGTCCCCTTCTGGTACATGAATTGCCCTGTGTCCAAACACCCCGTTCCGCTTGAAATTATCTCCGTCGACCCAATGCTCTACACAGACGCAGTTTTACATCACAACCCAGAGGACTTCAAAATTAAGTACTTAAATGGCTCTGAGAGATGTAAGCAGAGGTAGAGTACCGTGTTAAAGGCACCGTAGTGCAGGTTATTGGCGAGAACATTAACATTTCCTGATTTTAAACTGAATAAGGAGCCTACAAAGTATAAAATAAGCCTCAAAAAGTAGTTACACATAGGGAAAGTTCCGGACTCTGAGAGAAAAAAAGAAAAAAAAAAAAAAAGAGAAAAAAGAGTTTCCTTGTTGAGAGCATACTTGGGCTTAAATCAACAGCATCATCGTGATGAAAAGCAGCAGGTGTGGGTTGATCAAGCTCCCCAAAATCCAGGAAACGCGCCTGGTTACGATTACAATCATCCCCTCTGTTTATTTACCACTCAACAAAAAAAAACAGAGTCACACTTATTTTCCTTAATTTCCTAATAATTCAGAAACAGGGGTTCTTTTGTTTGTTTGCTTACATAAATCATCAGTATTCACTATTCAGTGCCTTGTAATCAAAGACATGCACTTTACCAAAAAGCAATACCTGAGAAAGAAAGAGGAGTGAAAATAAAGTTCTGGGTTAGCCGGAGCTGCTTTGAAGCTTTGCATTTCTAGAAACTCTACTGGAAGTTCCCTTCCACCTCTCCGACGTCTGTTTCCCAAGGAAAAACCGAACGAGAAGGGAGATAAAGCTGGAGCCTGGAGGTGCAGAAACAGAGAAGGTGAGAAAATCTTGGCGTGATCTTTGAAAGGAAGAAGAAGATAGGCTAGTGTTGGCGTATGAGTACGGCTCCTTTTTGTTTAGAGGGGGCTTACTTAAATATATATATAAAACCTTTTGTTTATTGTTTGTTGCTTGTTGCCTTCTGACTTGGGATTTTAGTTTTCCCATAAAACCCCACACATTTCTATACCTCTCACCCTACCCCCCCTTTGAGCGCGTATGCTTCATTCGCTACAGTTTTCATTAACCCTTCAGGAAACAGGAAAAACTTCAAAAATCACAGCTTAAACTTTCACTCCTAACTTTTTTTTTTTTTCTTATCGGAAAGTCAAAGATATTATTAAATAAATAGCAACCGTACATTCAAGTTGTATGTAACTTAGAAAATAAAGTTTTTTTTTTTTTTTAACAAGTTGTTAAGAGCAGGTTGGAAGCTCGTCCACGAGGAGGGAGGAGTACACTTTAAATTAGTTAAGTGTCAGTTGACCCGAAAAGTTAAGTGTACAGAAAATAAAGTTATTTTATAACACTAAATATAAAAAATTTGATGTCCATCACAAATGAATTAATTAAAGTGAAAATGATGTGACTATAACTAAAAATTATTACCAATCACCATAAATCAATGTTTTTGGACCCAGTTCGGTCCGATTGATTGAATCGGTTCAATAGGATTCGAACCCAGACCTGAAAACGGGCTAGTTGAAGACTTCAACCCATTTAAGTAAATGACCCGTTGAAACCCGACACGCCCATTGAACTCGTGCAACCCGCTACAACGGTCAGGCTGAAATTTTCATCATCTTCTGGTTTGTCGATCGTCCGTCGATCATCCATCGATCATCCGTCGATCGTCTCTTCCATCGATCTTCTCGTCCATCAATCTTCTCGTCCCCGATGGTCCACTGATCTTCTCTTTCGCAATCGTCCGTCGATCTTCTCTACCACCAATCGTCCGCCAATCTTCTTTTCTGTCGATCGTCCGTCGATCCTCTCCTCCGTCGCTGCACTTCTTCTCTTTCGCCGATCATCTTCATCTACCTCATCTGTTCTACTCAAAACAAAACAGATCATCTTCGGGTGAAATTGTGAAAGTAACGTATAAAAGCAAAATTCAATAAAAATACCAAAAAAAAAAAGTTTTTTAGTTGACTTTAGTTGATCGGTTGAACCGATCAGGTGAATCGGTTCAACCTGTTGACCCGATCAAGTGAATCAGTTCAACCTGTTAACTTAGACCCAATGGTCAAAACGGACAAGCCACCGAGCCGGGCCCAAAAACATTACCATAAATAACATTAATAAACCTACCAAAATAGTACTGCTATCTTTATGAGTACTTTTAACCAGTAAATCATCTCTCTATCATTATAGTTTTAGAAAAAAATAAGATTACAAGTTAACTTCAGTCTTCTACTTACAAAAAAAAAAAAACCCCTATAATAACTAATTAGTGTGGAGAAAAGTTATTGTTAAATTCCAAAATGGCTGTGGTAATACCTTCTTTATCCAATAGTACTTTGGAGGCACGTTCCTCATCAAGTTTCTCACCTTTGCACTTAACAAGAGCCTCAATCCTTTAACTGAGACAAAAAGAAATACCTTTTCCTAATCTCTTCCATTTCCTTTTTCTAGACTTGAGCTTCCTTTTTTTTTTTTTTGGAAATCCTTCTCATTTTGCTAGTTTTTCAAAGGGATATCCACTAGGTTTGTATATGATGCATGGTCAACATTGAAAGGTTCTAAATCCTCTTGTTCTTGTGCTAGTTGAACCTCACTAGGTTCCTTGTCCATGCTTGTTTTTTGGATGGACTGGGAGTTGGACTCTGTTTTCCTTTCCATGGTTGACTACCTCCCTTGCACCAACTTCTTGCCTTGACTTCTCTATCCACTCCAATATGGTAGCCACATGGATGTGGTCATCCAATTTTTTAAACAAGATGTGGAAGATGAACAGAATCCTGGCTCTAATCTTGCATTAGGGGATTCCAAAGTCCCTCTGTTTCTGCTCGCAACCATGCTCTATAGCCATGCTCAACTTTCTTTCCTTTGGTCTTTAGTTGACAAATCAGTTCATAATCAAATTTAATATGTTTCACGCACTCACACACATAATAGAATTCTAAAAGTCTCTCATAATTGAAACAAAGTTTTCAAGTCTCTTTCTCTTATACTTTAGTAGTGATAAATCTATGGAGAGGTTTAGCAATCTCCATAAAAATTTGGACTCTAAGAGCCTTATTATAATTTTTATCCACTTGCCTAACTTTTTGTTTAAGAGATTCAAATCTTTCTTCTATTTGAAGATACATAGTTTAGGACTTAAAATATTTAAGGAGATTAGCTAGACAAAAAAATTTATTTAAAATTATGGTAAATTTTTATTGAAAATGATTAAGATAAGCTATTTTAATATAAATATCTAAAATAACTTTTTTGTATAATTTTATTTGTCATTTAAATAATTAATACTTTTTATTTATTTAGAACATGTAATATTAAATATATTTATGTATTTAATAATATATAAAAATTATACAAATAAATTATCTCTATATTATTACTATTAAAAGATATAATTTGATATAATTTTTAAGTTTTTTTCTCTTAATATTTTTAAGATTTGGTTAATAAATAACTTTATTAAATGAGAATTACTTTATAATGTATTAAAATAATAATAAAAAGGTGAATTAAAATGTCTTAACATTCTATTTTACTCTTAAATATTAAAGACACAGTTAAATATTATCTTAGAGCTGGTTATTTAAGTTTGTTTTTCAAAATTGATCCTGACGCATGGAGGTGGCGAGTGTAGGAGTAGAAGTCCTGCCCACACCCCAAGACAAAGAAAGAAAAACTATCCTCACTTCTCCTCCTTCTTTCTCTCTCTCTCTCTCCGGCGCAGCAATTGATCCTCTGTGCCTCTTTGCTGCATCTGCTCAGATGATTCTCTGTTTGTTTCTCTCTCTACAGGAGTAGGAGATAGAGGACTGGCTGTTGCAGAGCTTGATGCCATCATGCTAAAATATGTTTTTAGCATAAAAATTTTGCACGTAAAAGGGGGAAGAGGGGGAGGATGATGATGATGATGTGATGTGATCATCTAAATATGGATGGCCCCCAATCCAAATCAAATAAATATATTAGTGACTCTTTTTTTTTTTTTTTTTATTAGTACTAATAGTATTTATTTAGTACTACTATTACTTTTATTGTGTTTTGTGATTTTACTCAGAAATCAGAATTCATTTAAAATAAGACTTTGCTTCAAAGCAACCGCCTGGTTAATGCTCCTGTAAGTATAGTCCTGGCTCCAAAGGGCTGGCGTGTGGCAGAGCTGAAAATTTATTATTCTTTGTATTTTAGTAGGCATTCGCATTACCTTAATTCTGGTGTATTTTAAAAAGAAAAATTCTAGTGCATTTATTTCGGTTAAATAAAAAAAAAAAAGTAAAAGAAAAACAACACTTGAGGCCAAAAGGCTTAAAACCAATATAGAGATTAAAATTAAAAGTTTGATCAGGTTTTGTTTGATTATGTTTTGTATAGATTTTTATAAAGTATTTTTTGTTTTAAATTTTCATTAATTTATTTGATATTTTATATATTTTTAAAATAATAAAAGATAAAAAAAAACTTTAAAGTTATAGTCATAATATAAACAAATAAAGGTTTGATAATGAGTATGGTTATAGTCATTAATAATATTATGACCATTAAAA